GAACTCTGCAGTCGTGATCGAAAGCTGTTAATAAGACCAGTGAATTCGGTATATCTGTCATTTGCGTTTATGCCAACACGTGAATGATACCATATTTTAATTTGCATCTCAACGAAACAATAATGACCAAACTAATAGATATCCTGAGATTATGAATAAGCTCACTACTAAAAATCAAATTTCTAAGATAATAGTACGGACTCATTAGTCCAATTTAAATGAACTACTCAGTAGTTAGATATTTTGTTGAAAGATTATAAGTCACTTGAAGGTACCTAAAGACAAAATTTTATGCTGAACTAACATTAAACTTCTAGCAAATCATCAACTTGTTATTTTTCAAACCTTATTTGCAGAAAAAGCAAAAATGTGACAAACATACGTAGTGATATAGGCTGGCCTGCAATAGTGTACATTTTTACTGCCAGTGCAAAATCATCCAAACAGTTTAGAAACATGAAGAATTTCTGAAATTCGTTGAAGGAGATTGCCTAAAATATAGTTTTAAATAAAACAAACTGAACGAACTATGTTAGAGGGAACAGCCTTTTCAAGTCGATTTATGAATGCATCATACTCAGAAGTAGACACTGTGGTATAACGAAGAATAATATGAGCGAAATCGACTGGTGTAATTGCAGATGAGCCTGAAGAAAACTCCTGAAATTCAACCTCTAGTGCTTCTGTTTGAATATTATGCATGAATCTATTGAAACAAAAATTTATTCTATAATTTTACCTTTTAAATTCCTCAAAGCTCAGGTTATGATTCTTATTATAACCAAATAGGTGAGTCATAAGAGTTGTATTATAAGCTTGGTCTGTCGGAAGCAACTATATTTTGAGGTCGTCAAACAAGCTCTTAACTTACGAGATCACATGCCCCTCTATCAGTATCAAGTATATCATCGGTACTTTCTGCGATTATATGGTTCAACTGAAATCATGGTAAGTACGTATATGAACATCATCACTAACGATCATGAATTCTCTAGCATCAACAGATCCGCTTAGATCCCTATCAAGCATTTTGAATGCTATTTCGAAACCCGAAGAAGATTCTGAAAAACATTAACGTTACCAAAAAGTATTTAGACTTGTGAGTATATGCAGCAGGAACAAATATTCCGAAAATGTTATTATCCCATCGTTTTGAAGGTTTCGAAAAAAACGAGATCCATGTTTTTTCTTAGATGCTCTGGTCATTATTTTCTCGATGAATTGTGGTTCATTTTTTATCATCATTTTGACTGGTAAGACTTCATAGTACAGGCTAAACAACGATTTACCCTGCTTTTGATCATCAACCAGAGAACGTAAGAAATCTGAAGGGGTCATCAACAAAACGCCGTTAAATCGCAAAGAGGCGAAGGTGCGGAACTTTTCTTCAAGCGATAGATGTCTAATATCAGCCTTTTGAGTCTAATGAAAAAGCTTTATCTAACAGTAGTTTCCTCAAACCTTCATTTTTACATGTTCATAACCATTGACAGTAAAGTAAAATACTCCAGACAAAACAGACCCACATGCAGTCGCTATTATTACACTTCCCACCTTCGTCCTAATGACGGTACCTACAAGCTCACCGATCTTACGGCAATAGCAATGCCACAACATGCGCAGAAGTACCGAAAAACTTCGTAATTGCTCCCAACAACAAAGTATCCACCTATTCTGTTTACTTAATTAAAACGTCCGTAAATCTAATATTTGCTGATACTGAGTTTACATGTAACATTGTGGATTGCCAGAGCTTTTTGCATGTTTTTTGAGTGTGTCCTTACATTTATAAGCAGTAGACTGTATAATAAGTATTGTGGTGATAGACCTGGCAAGCTTATTTTCTTAATAGTTTTTATTATTATTTGTATTTATTTTGTCAACCTTTAACCGTATATATATTTATCATTAAACGACTGTTCCTGTTGTTTTAGTCAATGACCTTGAACACACTTTACAGTTGTGCAACCACATAGCGTGACATACTCTTGCTGGCTAACAAATACACTACTTCTCACACATTCTTCGTTCTATCCTCGTTTGTGATTGAGTTAACTGAAGTCTTAAATACTCTCAGCTCCTTTCCGAATCGCCTCCATTTGTATGTCCACTCAAACCTTGTTAACACTTATTTTCTTTAACTTATTAAACGCTCTTTCTTAACAAATACCTTAATAAAAGAAAATTAGACTGAGTAATCACACCTTAAACATTCCTTCATGAATATTGGCTACTCTGTCCCCCGTGTTTTCTTTTACTTGCCCCTTGTGATATGGAACGAAAGATTTTATCCTGCACCATCTTCAAAGCCTTAGACATTCCAAAGGGACAAGGTTGCGACATTTAAAAGCTCCCACCTTCAATGGACCTATCACTGACCATCAGTTGCACATTCGCAACGCAACTTTCGTGAAGCGCGCCAACTGTGATACTGATTAAAACCATCTACTTTCATATCTTATAAATTATCAACCCAGCTGTGTAATTTACTACAGTGGATATTGTATCATTTGTATCAATTTGATCTTGCCTGTAAACTGGCATGCCTCATGTAATAAACTGTTATTTGAGAATAAATTATTATTATTATTATTATATTGATATTTCATTATCCTTTTCACTCAATTGAGACTTTCATCGCATCACTTCAAACTATGACTGCACAAACATTTATTCTAGCGTCATATCTTACTACAATAATAAGTTGTTTTTTCTTAATTATTTTTTGTTATTAATTTGACGACATATACATAGTCGTTTGTTCTTGTTTTATGTTCATAAATGCGCTAATTAAACAGTTTGCGTATTTCACGTCTCCCTTATTTCTATTCCCTTATTTTATCCATTTCCTTCTTTGAAATCAATTCAATATTCTTCTCAATTACACAGGCCCGATTTATTATTATTAATATTCTACTATTATTACCGTAAAATTTTTTTAAATATGGCAAGTATTATGCTAACGTTATTGAAAATTGTGTATTACTGCATTGTTTGAAGAAACCCGAAATGGTTTCTTCACAACACTTATGTACCCATAAGATGTTTGTGAATAATAATAATAATAATGTTAGGAGTAAACGAAAGCAGCCAAAAGTGTCGTTCACCATGTTCCAGTAACTTGATATACTTTAGATTGTTAAGCAGTTACAAAACACCATAATTCGTGACGAATACTGATTGTGTCATCTGTGTCTCAAATTTATGAATGTCTGGGATGCTGATTTTCTGGGTTCTAGTTTGAAGCTAACCGAGTTAATCTCACTGGTCACGAGTTTCAGAGTAAACAAATATTTCATTTTGCAGAGAGTATCCTTGCCGATTCTCACGTACTAAGATGTCGTATTTATCAACCACGTTTCTTATTCATTGCATCTTCTTTCGCACCAAAAATCTCTTAGCTATATAGCAAGCTAGATGGATTTTTAGATTATTGTATGTTCTTTCACACAATCTGTTATTGTAAGAATTCAGATGTTACGTTATGAGCGATGCAATACATTATAAACATACGTTTTTGTGGCGTTTGTGTGAACTAATGATTCTTTTGCACTTGGTGACTGCTTGATTACAAATTCCCAATACAATACCTTTATTCGTGTTCATCTATTACTCCTTGGTTTAATTGCGTTATATCTGGAATTCCTAATTCGTACAATAATTCAAATACTCCTAACCATCGCACTTTTCCTGTCCGTCTATGGTGTATATGTTGCAAATTTAAACATTCCAGTCTATCCGATTATACCGTACTTAGATCGAGAACTCTTTTCGCTTGTGTTTTATAGTTAGAATATAGCAAGACAATATCCTTATTTAGACAAAGTTGCATGATGTAGGACTATTTTTCAAGATGTGATCTTTATAAAACACTGATTGCGACTTTAAAAAGTTCATGGGTCTAGCTAACTTATATTCCCGAAAGACCCAAAAACGCTAATTATGCGCCTTTGTAACGGAACGCCATTTGGAGGAAATGGGTTGAGTATCGTCTGAATTGATGTCTTTGTCCGTTTCTGTATAGAAAAATGTGATGGCCTAATAGCTTAGAATGTAGTTAATGGATAAACCGTCACGGTTTACCATGGCCATTCTTCGTTTCATGGTACCAGAAGTGACGTTTCCTTTGGTTCGGTATTCTCTACTCTACTAGTCTTCCTGAAAAGTCAGAATATCGTTGTGACATGGTGTTATGTAATGGTGAAAGTAAAGTATGGTTGAGCGTCGAGCGTAGACAAAATTGCACTTAACCTACAGGCTATTAAATATTGTGATTTCCTCCATTGTAATTGTTTCCTAGTTCGAGCTTTCTAACAGCGACTGCTTGTCACCGTGCTGAAGAAAGACTTATCTAGTGATAATGTAATTCCATATTTAAGATCGTGAGTCCCAGTGTTAATACAACATGACTAGTTTCATTATTGGACTAATAAGTTATCGTCGTAAAACTAGTAGAGAAAAGACCTTTAACTATCCATTATACAAAATAGTATCGTCATTAAAATCACCTGGGCTGTTTATCCCGAGTTTTTGCTCTCTTCCGTTATTGAAGCACGGAAGATCGACCAACTTTTAGCTTAGAACCAAACCCCGATTCAGCCACCAAAGTTTAGTTGCAGACTGCAAGCGGTAGACAAACTTTCAGGTTCCGTGATTGGAAACTTCCAGATATCAAACCAAAGAAAAAAGTGAAACCAAGCTATCCGAAGTCAAAGACATAAACGAACAAGCTTAGAAGTTGAATAAAACAAATGCATATAAAAACAGTGAAATTAATTATATTCAATTTGACAGTTTTTAGTTAGTCGAATATCTTCAGTTCTCCTGTAGAACAATTGCTAATATTTACTCATTTGGAAGTATGAAAATACTTAAAACATTTAGGTAATATCAAGTCGGGAACACAAATAAATCTTCAGGATATCATTAGCTCAGAAATATAATGATGGATGTTGGATGTTTGTTCAGTCCTAGTAATTAGATTATTCCATCAACTGTGAACCAAATTGAATTTTGCAGGGCGATGATCATTAAAGAGTTGTAGGTTGATTTGGTGCATTTACTTGTTATTTGTAACTGTTTCAGGGTAACATTTGTTGCTTTCGATCGTGGTTAAGTCCAAATCATGCACCTTAGGTATGAGGTTTGATTATTAGTAAATTATCCATCTATTCTGAACACAATTACGCATAAAATGACAAAGTGGCGTTTACACGCTATGGTTACTAATATTGAACGAATACCATAGGTTTTCATATATCTTGAGACTCAGTGTGCTTATGCGTGCGTTTCTTTCTTACAATCGCTAGGCTTAATTGTCTCGTGTGACTGTTCATAATGTAAAAATGTCCTCTAACCAACCTAGGTGTAAATCTAAAAGTTACTATAGTTTGCTAGGTCAGAATAAAGCATTCTCGGTCACTCGATTTCAAAAATACTTCTCAATCTCTACACCCTCTAGGGTTTGCACATCTTTCAGTAGGGGTTTTACATGGTCTTGTAAATCTTACTGATTGATGCTTCTCGACTAGTATAGCTAGTTTATTTTTAATCCATGGCACATTAATCATTTTCAGTTTGGATGGTAGGTTTTATGAAAGATTCTTCGCATATACTCACAATCATCATCATTGTAAATTTCATCTATCCATTCAAACAGTCCCATGTTTTGATCGACTTGTATGCGGCTAGTTTATACTAACTAACTTGTCTGAGAGAAATCAATCCCACCAGCATTGTGGGAAATTGTCTCTGGCATAACTTTATTTGATTGTCAAGCCTATACATCGTTTGTGTCCAGTTTATCATTTCAGTCAATCTGGAGCTCGTCATGTAGCTCACTAACCAAGTACATGCTCATGCGTTTGTCCTCAGCCACCTAATTTCTCGAACGGCTAGGGATACCAAATCAACATTTCGGGAGTTAAAATTATGGTTCTTTTACAGCCTATCCATCACTCTGTCTGTCTCTAAACTTGTGATATTGTATTCATCAAACCGGTTCTCATCTTTGAACTCTTACTTATCAATTATTAAAATACCTACGCTAAAGTAATTTTCGTAACTGGATTTACTTGACTGCTAATAATAGTTTAATCTAATTCTTTAGTTTGATTTTTCCACTTCAAAATGTTCGTAAACAAGATATGAATCCCTGAATGTTTCAACACTAGGGGCTATAAAATACAGTATTTTAAGCGAAAAGAATATAAACCAATCGAAAACAAATCAGGCTAAATTTAGTTAGATCATATAGAACTATTCTGCCCTCAAATCCCCTTGTACGGCCGAGAGTGGGGAGAGTCAGCTCTCCTTCTCCTTGTATTTTTTTCAAAGACAAATTTTACAAATTTAAACACAAGACTGATTTATACGGCGAATTTTATTATTTATTTATTTGGTACAAGAAGGCACCAAATAGATATGCGCCACACAAATCTCATTTGATATGTGTGAAGGCTGTGATACTCCCCGGGTGCCCAAACCGAAGCAGGTGGTTTTCTTAGCGGGCCACACCTGGAGCCTTCGGCCTGAAGGACTGATCCACAAGGCAGTGGAGCATCGTAAGGAGATGTAGTCCTATAATAGCCGGTGATCAACGATTGGTTCATACGCCATTTGTTTCTTCAGGATCCTGGAGCTCATATGCACCATTGGTTTGGAATGAGGGTTTTCCAGCTCCCCTAGGTGGACCCTTCGTATCCACCAGTCCGGTTAAAGCGCTGGACATTCGCTTTTCGTTCTTTCCACTTCGTAAACAACACCTCCTCTGCGAGAAGGCAGTGAGTAGGACTTCCCTGGCAGTGGTTGTATGCACGTGGCCATTTGAAAGCATTTCAAGAGAGAGAGCTGACTCTCCCCACTCTCGGCTTATTAGGGCATTTGAGGGCTTGTAGAATCCTAGTGAAAATACCTCAGTTAAATTTTCCAAGAGCTACCACCCATATTATTTATTTATTTATTTGAACACAAATATTGGTACAATGGGGCACCAGATATTTATGCTCCACACATATATATGCTAGAAGTACCATATTTCACGGAAAAATGGACTAGTTTGAGTTGTCTAGAGAGACGTAAACCTGTTTGGGAATGTCAAGATGATAAAAACCAAAAGTTGTAAACCTTTTGTTCTATTTTACTCTTAATTGGTTTGTTACTCGCTGTTCATGTTATTTCTTAACTCGTACCCTTGCTTCTTAATATTTTTTCTATTCTTGTTGACTTGCTGCACTTTGCTAGGCGTTCTGCATTCAGTTCTATCTATTATATGTGACTGATTAAGGATGCAACACTTCACTTATAGCACATAAGTGTAACCCCTTTCCTGTTCTTTGCCCTATTTATGTAGTCGCATAATACTGCCTTTAACGGTAGATGAATACCATGTTGGACAACTGTGGGCTGTTGCAGAGGCATCCAAAAATGAAACTGGAGGCGGAGAGGGAATAGAGGTTCTGGTAAATGAACCATTTAATCCTCAAGTCAATCCTCCTGAGTCACCTTTAAAAGCCAACGGTGAAGAATTCTCCTCTGGGCAGTACACTCATAAACGCTTTTATCTGGCCAGAAAAGTACCTGGTTATGTACGTTTGCTTGCGCCGAAAGGGTCACTTGAAATTGACGAAAAGGCCTGGAATGCTTACCCTTACTGTCGTACAGTTTTACAGGTATACATAAATAACTTCATACATTTTTAGAATCCTAAATATATGCAAGATAACTTTACTCTGATGATTGAGTCTATGCATGTACAAGATAACGTTAATATCGAAAATGTAAGTACTGGTTTTTAAAAGAATCATATTTTATCAGATTCACAACCTTCCACCAAAGCTCTTGGCTCAACGAGAAGTTATTTATATTGATATTGTAAATGATCAATTGCACAGTGCTTCTGACTATGATGCAACATGTGACCCTAGAATATATCAGTCAGTAAAAACTGGTCGAGGTCCATTAGTAGGCCCAAGATGGTGGGAAGTTAGTATATTCACATCTTCATTTATCTTATTTAAATAAATTGATTAGAATACAGATCTACCAATAATGTGCGCCTACAAACTTGTCACATGTGAATTTAAATGGTGGGGTATTCAAAGCCGAGTTGAAAATATGATACAGAATGTATGTTGCATGTAAACAATATATAGGGTTGTATTTCTTACTTTCTTTTAAAATTATGTAGCAAGAAAGGCGAATTTTCCTTAATTTCAACCGTCAGGTTTTTTGTTGGCTCGATAAATGGCACGGACTTTCTATGGACGATATACGAGCTATAGAAAATAAAACTAAAGAAGAATTGGATGAAGTATGTTTGTTTGGTGGATATAAATGTATGGTTATATTTTTTCCCTTTTTGTTAGTCATTTATTGCACGTTGTTGATCAAGATTTCTGGAAGCTTTTGCCTATTATTTTTAAGTACGTTGTTTGGTTACTGAATTCAGTAAAGCACAAACAATACTTGACGGAGGATCAGCATACAATTTATCTTTTCTAATATCTTATTTATTTGTTTATTTATTTGAACACATAAATATTGGTACAAGAGAGCGCCAATATATATGCACCGCACAAAACAATGAGAATTCGAAGAGAAAAAAGAAAAAAAAGGTAAGGGGCGTAAAAAAAGAACAATAACGAAGAGATTGGTGTAAGGTAGTGTAGTAGTAATGGGGGAACGGAAAGGTACAATCGGAAGAAATCTTTCAGTTAAGGAAGATAAAACCACCTTTTATGAAGAAAGTAAAAGAAGGTTACAGCAGGATCGCCACTGGCTTCTATTCTGAGCCATATCTAATAACGTCTCTAGCCACTGTGTCGCACCATCTCTCGGACCCCAACCAGGGAGTCGTGAAGGACCAACAGAAGCCAGTCCTTTGCAGCTTTCTTTCATGCCACGACAACATGTCATGCACTGACCACCTTTCCACTTTCTCCAACCAGTCCCAGAGTCGGCAAATAATGCAAATAATGGAATTCTCTGGGACGACATTCGGAGAACATGTCCAAGCCACCGAAGTCGGTGTTTCAAGATGGTAACATCGATTGCATTATCATGTCTGTGCCCGAACACACGATGCCGAACCTCTGCATTACTGACATGGTGTTGCCAGTGGATGTCAGCAATCCTTCGGGGACAGCGATGATCGAACACAGATAGTCGTCTAACGTCCTCAACTCGGAGTGGCCATTGATCTCATCACTCACACCCCCACCAGCACTTATTCAGCTACCCAGATACACGAACTTCTCGACTACGTCTATCTGCTCACCATCCAGGGTGAGTACAGGATTAGTATCCTGCCAGTCTTGTAGAAGTAGTTTGCACTTCAAAGGTGCAAAGCACATACCATACCTACGGACACTGATTGCCAACTGATTAAGTGCGGATTGCATGCCTTGGGCATTATCGCACAATAAGACAATATCATCATCCGCATACTCAAGGTCGAGAAGTCTTTCTTCAGGCAACAGATCCACACCATTATTACTTACATCCATCAGAGCTGTTTCCAGAATGTCATTGATGGCAAAGTTGAAGAGGAATGGTGAGATTGGGCAACCCTGTCTAACCCCACTGCTCGAATGGAACAATGGAGAGAGGTGGTTGTATGCCCTCACTCTACCTGAGGTGTTTGTATATAGGGCTTTTAGGATGTTAATAAACGTCTCAGGCACACTCTTCTTCAATAGACAATCCCAGAGAACAGTCCTGTTCAACGAGTCGAAGGCAGCCCTGATGTCAAGAAACACTACGATTGTTGGCCCTTGATAAGTATGACGGTGTTCTAACATTTGGCGGAGGTTGAAGATATGATCAATACATCCTCGATCAGAACGAAACCCAGCCTGCTGCTCGCGAGTCAATCTTTCTCGGGTTTTGAACAACTTAGGAAGTATGACAGAAGCCAATAGCTTGGACGCAATCGGAAGTAGACTTATCCCCCGATAGTTGTTACAGGAACGACGTGAACCCTTTTTAAAGATAGGGACAACTATCGACTCATTCCATGACATTGGTACACTCTCTAGTTCCCAAACCTTTGTAAACAACGTCGTCAATTCCTTAGTCAGAAAGTCACCACCATCTTTAAAAAGAGCCGGAGGGAAGTCATCTGGGCCAGGTGATTTGTAACGCTTCAAGAGTTGGGGTTCCTTGCGGACTTCCGCCTCATTTGGTGGATCAGTCGTCACCGGCCATGGAGGGCAGGACAGTCTGACCGATGTTGCCGGATCAGCAGGCCAGTTGAACTGCCCCTCGAAAAATTCTGCCCATCGTCCAAGACGTCGATGGATGTTAGTGATTGGCATCCCATCATCCTCATAGATTGTTTCGCTCACATCAGACTTCTTGCTGCCAGTGGCTCGGATGAGTTGGAAGAGCTTCCGGTGGTTACCAAATGCAGCTGCTGCCTCCAACTTATTAGCACGCTCCGACCAACAGGCTTCTCGGTCCTTACGCAAGCTTTGCCCTATTTCATTACGTAACATCCTTCGTTTGTGGTCAAACTCACGGTCACCCGGAGTAGACCGATGGGCTTCAGTGAGTTGTAAGGAACCAGAAGCCCAGTGCTTATAAGCGGGACGTTTCACGAAGCCGCAAGTGACTGTACCCGCCATTTTCATGGTGTCATGCAATTGCAACCAATGCTCATCTTTACTTTTCGGTGGAGTGGTAGCTAGCCTAGAAACTAGCTCGGTTCGATACTTAGTTACAACAGAAGCTGCAATCAGTTTACTGACATCAATCCGTTTAGGATGTTGAATTCGTTGGCCACTGAAAAGTAAGGTAAGATTGGCGCAGACCAAAGCATGGTCAGAGTCCAGATAGGTACTCCAAAAGGAGCGGCAGTCTTGTACACAACCACGCCAGCGGTAGCTGATCGCGATGTGATCAATCTGAGTCCAGGCTTCGGATGACTGTGCCGAAAGTTAGTGCTAGCCAGAAACAGGTTGTGGTCTGTGCACAGTTGCAGTAGACGGTCCCCGTTATCTGTCCTGCTACCAACGAGTCCCCATCGGCCACCTAAACGACTCTCTTCTGTGCCTAGACGCCCTACCTGAGCATTCAAGTCTCCGGCTAGTACTACAATATCTGTCGAACGCACTTTCTGGAGAAGAACAGATAACTGGTGGTAGAACTCATCCTTGATTGCATCCGGGCTGCAATCTGTCAGGGCATAGGCGGAGATGACGAAAAGACATTGTTTCTCACACCGATTTCTTCTCACTTTGATGGAACTTTCTAATCTAACAGCACATAACCGACTGTTAATGGGGATCCAATCGATTAGTGCTGCCTCAGCTCTAGCGCTTAGTGCGACACCAACGCCAGCAAAACCAGACGAAGATGCCACAGGGTCCTCGGATAAACGCACGTAAAACAAGCTTTTTGAAGTGACAGATGGAGAGTGAATTTGTAGTACTTCACCAGAGTCTTGAATACGGGTCTCGGATAGACAGCAGACATCGATATTAAGACTTTCCAAAGACATAGCCAGCCCTATCTGTTGTCCGACCTGCATAAGTGTGCGAACGTTAAAGGCAGCCAGTTTGAATAGCGCACGTGGTTTCAGAAAAACTGCTTCAGTACTCATATTCACTGGAAACATACAATTTTCAACCGGACAGTGACTCGAGAACGTTTAGATACAGTCGAATTTCCACCAAAGACGAGCCGCCGTATAAGTATAAAAGAGGGTGAATAATGTTAATAAAAATAAAAATAATAATAATAATAATAATAATAATAAAACAATAATGACAATAATAGTAATGATAATAATTTGAATCATTTGATTGTTTTTCGAAGCGAGAAAAGTAGTTTCCATAGATATAGAGAGTTCATTTGCGTGTGGGCTGTGATACTGCCCGGGTGCCCAGACCGATGCAGGTGGTTATCTTAGGGGGCCACACCCCGAGCCTTTGACCTAAAGGTTTGATCCACAAGGCAGTGGAGCATCATAAGGAGATGCAGTCCCATGGAAGCCGGTGACCAACAATCGGTTCATACGCCATTTGTTCCCACAGGATACTGGAGCCCATGTGCACCATTGGTTTGGAATCCGGTTAAAGCGCCAGACATTCGCTTTTCGTCCTCTCATTTTCATAAACAATACTCCATATTATCTTATCGTGGACTGATTGAAGTTAGGCATTAGCACAGTTGGATCCTCTCATTTTCGTAAACAACACCCCGCCACAAGAAGGCAATGAGTAGGACTTCCCTGGCAGAGGCTGTATACGCGTGGCCGTGTGAGAGTATTTCGAGAGGGAGAGCGGACTCTCCCCACTCTCGGCCATTCGGGGGCTTTCTAATATCTCAACATAATCAATTGTCTCTAATTATGAAATATACATACAGAGCAATTCGTTTTGGATAAATGATATCACTCGGTGTTTTTCACTGTTATGTGCGACCAAATCAGTGAATTCTTTCAAATAATGTTTTCAAAGTATCGGTATTATCAAAAACTGACACTGAATTGTGTAACCAAAACTAACATCAGACGTAAACGGTCTGTGCAGATTTAGAGGATTTTGTAAAATGTATAACTATTATTCGCTTCAGATTTAAGCTCGATAGTCGCGACCAACACTCGAAAAATATCTCATTTTAGATACCTCTAGAAGAACTCTTTCACGGTGTGAGCAAACAGGAAGTGAAAACCACCCTCATACTTCTAACAGCACTTGATACCACTGTATTCGTAAATAATTTCACTCTTCGATCCCCATTATTCCTCCTACCTCGACTTTCAACTTTCCCTTTTAACTTCCTCCTCAAGCGTCATCATGACACAATTCTATTGCGCGAAACACTGTCCCAGGTTTACTGAAACCTTGCTTCAAACTACACATTGGAGCCTTCAACGTACGCACCCTATATCAAATCGGCCAAACAGACCTCCTTGGCTAGAACCCTAAAATCTCGTACGATTGGTGTGTGCTGTGTCTCTGAACCATGCATACAAAATCGTAGTGTGGTCATTCACTTGACCTCACCTAGCCCGAACGGGGAGCCGACGAGATACGCCCTCCGTGTATCTGGCGACTCGACAGCAAGTTATCATGGACTGGCAGGTGTAAGCATAGCACTATGTAAGAGGACAGAAGAAGCGCTTTTAGAGTGGATCCCTGCTAACAGTCACCTTTGTGCTGTTCGGCCAAATGGCTCCGTAAGAACTTGAAAGGATAGGGACACACGTCGTCGCCTTTTCCTCGTTTCTGTCTACGCTCCCACTGACTGCAGCATGGATGAAGTGTAAGATGACATAAAGCTTTCTGAACTTTTTCGCAAAGCTAACCACTTAGACATAGTACTCGTAGCGTGTGAATTAAATGCCCAGGTAGGTAGCTTAAACCAAGCAGAAAGACATTTAGGTGGGTATTTTAGTATCCCGGTTCAGTGAACAGTTAATGGTGATCGTCTACTGCAACTGTGCTCAAACAATCGTTTATTTTCGGCAAGCACTACGTTTAAACATAAGGAGAGACATCGTCTAACATAGCGATCCCCTGCACCAAACCAACGATGGACTCAAATAGACCATATTGCCATCAGTCATCGTTGGAGAAACTCGATAGAATACCGCTCGTTCTAGAACACATGTTTAGACTCTGATCATGCTCTAATACGAGCACGTATTTGCTTGCGCCTCATTGGACGCAGAAGAGCCACATTAAGAAGATTCATTAGAGTTGAACTCAGCTATGAAAAAGTCTAAGGTAAATTCCAGGAGCAACTAAAGTCACACTTGGGCAATTATGAAAGTGAGGCTGACCCAAATATTGCTTGGAAAGATATACGAACAGCTTTGGAAACAGCGGCGACATTTATTAATGATTTGAACCAATGGATTTCTACTAAGTCTATTGCAATGATAAGTTCTCGTAAACTCATCCCATCAGGCTCCGAACACGATGATGAGCGAAAACAAATAAGATTTAGGCCGACCAAATGTTTAGAGAACGACCGTTAGCAATGGTGGGCAACGGAAGCAAAAGAGACGAAAAAGGCAGCTGTTGTAGGTAACACCAAACAGCTCTTCAGACTCAAAAGAAACCGGAATTAAGAAGTCAAGTGTAAGTGAGACTATCTCAGTAAAAGATAATACTCTTATCTGACCTCAGCCCAGATATTTAGAACGATGAGTGGAACAGTTTAGCTGTCGTTCAGCTACTCTACAACTACCCACCATCCCCAAACAATCTGAATGGAACATTGAAGTGGGCCCCCGACTCTAATTGACGTACTAAAAGCCATAGCTAATTTGAAGCGAGGAAAAGCAGCTGGTCCAAATGGATTGGTTCCAGAGGTCTTTAAGTATGATGGTCTAGTTTTAACTGTTAGGTTGGCTAATATTTTAGCTAAAATCTGGAAACTGGATCTAATCTCATCTGACTGCTCACAATTACTGATTGTCCCAACATATAAGAAGTCAAAATCATCCTGTACTAACCATAGAGGGATTAGTTTGACTAACATAGCATCTAAAATACTAGCCTCAATAATTGCCGGTCGCCTAACTAAGACTCGTGAACTGCAAACACAAGAAAATCAGGCTGGTTTCAGACCTAGTTGTGGCGGTATCGACCACATATTCACCATTCGTCACATCGTGGAACACAGGCATGCTTAACGGCGTCCAACAATAATAAGTTTTCTTGACTTAAAAGCAGCATTTGACTCTGCAGACCGAGAGGTTTTGTGGTAGTGTCTATCATTGAAAGGTGTACCTCAGAAGTATATAAACCTTGTGAAAACTCTTCACTCAAACGCTACCAACCGAGTCAGAGCTTATGGCAAACTGTCATTTGATTTTTCAACCTCAAGTGGCATCCAACAAGGTTGTCTACTATCTCCATTTCTGTTTAATTTCATCATGGACCTACTGCTGGAAATAACTTTCCCATCGACTGAATTTTCAGGAATTGATCTCATACCAGGAGGTTTACTTACGAACTTGGAATACGCAGATGATATATGCCTGTTTGGTGAAGACTGATAAAATGCAGTCTTTTGGTAGCACTGAACAATAATGCCAGAATGTTTGGGATGTGCTTCTCCACCTCGAAATGCAAGTTGTTACTCCAGGACTGGCTTGCGTCAACACCTGAACTAAAGATATGGAGTGCATCAGTCGAACGCGTTGACAACTTCATTTGTCTTGGAACTCTGATCACCCCTAATGGGTTGGTGTCTGACGAAATCTCAGCACGGATTCGAAAAGCTCGTCCGGCTTTTACCAACTTACGTCACCCATGGCGAAGGCGAGATATCCGTCTATCAATTAGTTGGCGAGTATACTGCGCAGTTGTTCGTTCTGTTTTACTTTACGGCTGCGAAAGGTGATCATTAAGAGTAGAAGATACACATAAGTTACTAGTATTCGATCATATATGTCTTAGAAATATTTCCCGCATCTATTGGGATCACTTGATAAGTAATAGTGAGGCTGGACGCAGGGTATTAGGGAATAATGGTAAATCCATTAGTGAGGTTGTGGATCCACATCGACTGAAATGGTTGGGCCACGCGTGCCCAACCACCGATTACCATGGCGCGCAATGCTGACTAGTGTTGGAGACGGATAGGTGACAGTTAGGGGCGGCCAAACCAAAATGTGGCATCAGTGCTTGAAGTCACTGAATTCCGGCCTTAGCCTTCTTGGTAGATGCAGACTATTTGATTGGGGTCTGTGCGACTATCGTGACCAATGGTTGGAGACTCTGGGTGACATGGCTCAGAATCGATCACAGTGGCATGGATGTATACATTCTTTGTCTTCCCTTAAACCGTGAGATTAAAACTACTTCATGTCTTTCTTACTCGCTGTATCATATCCTTATATGAGATGCACTTTTTTTACATTACTACCATTGAGGTGATTACTTCTATGAATTTGTTGTTCATCTTGTTATGCTAATGAGGTAGGGCAACTTGGACCGATGCATGTATGTGCCTTATTGTACGTTGTAGCTGACTTACTGGAGCCCTTCGGTAACTCAAAGGTGTTCCCTATTTTTAGTACCTTGTTAAGACTAATAATCGCCGTCGTTTCAAAATAATTTGTGTCGTCGTTTCTCTTGTTAACTAATTAATACGTTTTTGTTAGGAGTTTAACGGAGTTTGTAAGAATGTATTATACCAAGTTGTATCCTAGTTTTACCTATCAATTTTTTGTAACTACTGTTCTTAGTCTACATGACTGAACTATAAACCTTTTTCTATTTTCAGCAACGCCTTGTCGGTAGTGTTCGTGGCACTGTGGCTCATGACTAAAATACTGGCATTAATTCAAAGTGATAATTCGCTGATTTAAGTGGATTGCACACTAATATATATATATATATATATATATATATATATATATATATATATATATATATATATATATATATATATATATATATATATATTGATGAAATATCCAAATTCTTATATTACGTAAGTTTAGTTTACTGCTATCCATTCATCGTTTTTAGTTTATACTTCTCATGACTAGTATTTTATTTTATATTGTGTCTGATTGTATCAAGTAACAATTTCGGTCAGAGTTCACCAGCTATTTTAATTAGATATTATGTCTACAGTCTTGGATACGTATATTGCTTTGTCAGTTCCTTGCAAATTCATATATAACAGTCATGTGATATGATAACAGTGATATTGACACCAAAGAAATAATTTATTATTAGACTATAAAAACAGAAATATGTCAATAAATATACATTTATGTATGATTTATAAACCATTCAGTCACCAACTAATCCCTATTAACATTCTTCATGTGTACGTTATAATTTTTTATTTCAAATTTTTACTTTGATACTTACTAATTAGTTTTATCATGCTATATGTATATTGAAAATAGTACACAAGACGGTATATTAACTTGAAAATTTAATTATATTTTAAATTTGAATCGTTTCATTTACATCTCTGGATTAAATAAAATAACTTGAGATGGTAAAGTGGATAAATTTTCAAAGTGATAAATGAATCAGCTGCTAAATGTTTGTGGGATATCCAGTTGCGTATATGGTTGTTATTGGTGTTCAGTCGTGTTTATAAATTGTTTTGTTCATAGTTGCTAAATTAGTCCGTATAAATTTCTAGGTAGAAGAATCAACTGCTACATAATGTTAAATCAAAATAGACTATACAATAGGTATAATTTTTATTTGTTGACGATAGATGAAACAAAAACATTGTAAAATGTATTCGTGGTATTGATGGGTGATGAAAGTGTTAAGACTTTCATCTGTTTAGGCAGCTACAACATTTATTTGGTACAAATGGTTACAGCAACTCTTAATTGGTCGTCATTATGTTAACCTGTGAAGTACCTTCACTGAAAAATATTTTTTAAAATCTTTATTTTCAATAAATTAGCTAGAATCAGTAATTTGAAGTTGACTGATATGAATCAAACACTGACAAGTCAATTTTATTGTTTATTTTATGTTGTCTTGTGTAAATATTTAGCGCAAACGTTTATGTATATGAACATGTTAGCCCATTCTATAAACAGTGCCATATAACCAGTTATCTTGTTCCGATTTCCGTCCATAAACAGTTAAATCAAATCGCCTTTTTTGGAGCAAGGGACAGAAGAAAATAAACAGTCATTATCTACCACTCAATTCTTGTGAATGATTTCTTTCTTTTCCTTTGTTTTATCTCACAGTGTATGTGTGATATTCTGTTATTTTTTCTTATTACTGTCAATGACAACATTCAGTGGTTTCCTATATATACATGTATGTTGTTAATTATCTAACTGCGCCAAATTCTAAGATAAATTTTTATAAATTACGTGAAAATTTCATTCCTCGGTTGATTTTTCTTCTTTTCTATCTATGTTCATTCTTTTCGTTTGTTCACTGTTGTTCATAAAATCAAAGTTTTGTTTATGACTGTATTCCTGCTTATTATTAATCTTATACTTCAGAAAAATAATGATATTATTGTTGTCATTAACTCAGTTTAACTAATATTTGTGCTGCTAAATTACTTTTTGAAATTTATTACCATACACATTCCAAAAACTTCACAAAAGGATACATGTATACATATTTGTTTTTTCTTGTGTTCCTTTTTATATTTTCGGTGCTTGTTGTCATGTTGTTTGCTTTTGTTTTTTTTTTACCTGAAATTAAGGATTCTACTGTCATGCCTAATTGGAATCTTTTTACTCATCTCTTATTTTGTTAATATTCTGACAATTGTTGTGTTTACCTTTGATCGTCATCGTTTCTCGTCATTAATGAAGAAAATAACCAAATGAAGGTTTTTCTTAACTTTACCAGTCGTTTAAATAACCTGTCCCCTCCCTATTTAGAAAAATTCGCAAACTAAAAGATAAATAGTTCTGAATTATTACATCAATTTTCGTCTTTCCCTTTGTTTACTAATTTTTAATCTGTCTTGTGTGTAGGTCAGTTTATTCATTTGTCAGTCTGTGTTTAGCTTTGTAAATGATTTAATTAAAGAATGCATTGAATTATTCCTGTCGAAGTTATTAATATCGATGTTTAATGATATTCTGTCTTCTCTTATTTTTCACGGAAAGAAGGTTGTAACAACTGCTGAAATTATATTTCTAAACTTATCAGTTCGTAATGCAATGTAGTTATTCGGATTAGTTAAGTAATGTTAACTAATTTCGCATTCATTCGCTTAGCCTTAATAAAAATATATATTTCTTTAATTATTGTATGTGTAGTAAACTAAATGACCCGATACTTCAGTTAAATGAGATAGTATTATGCATCTTTGATTGCAATTCGGAATGATATGTGCTCGAATTTCTCAGACGGATGTCTTTTTGATAAATGCTAATCTTATATGTAAGGTTTGTCCAAAAGGTTTTTAGTTAATCACCTTTGTATATCAAAAGAATTAATTCACATAGTTGTTATGCCAAGTTCTACGTTTTTTCATGAATAACCGATTAACATGGTTATTATGAATATTGTCATTCTTAGAATTATATCTCATAAACTAGGTTTACGCATTATGTCAAAGAAATCGAATTGTAATTAATTATATCACTGATCAAATAATGTGGTTAAATGGTATCAATAAAGTCATTTTATAAAAAGAATAATCAAGGACAAAGACCAAAACAATATTAATAAAAAAGTGGGTTAACACAGCGGTGATCCCATATCATAAAGGCATTTCAGAAGGATCCTAACTTCAGAATACAAGAGTATTCTTTCGAACAAACAATAATCTAAGACCAAAACTAGTAAGATCCGAAGATCCAATACACAAGAGGAACAACAAAATTGTGTTTATGAAATCAAATATAGTGACTGTAATGCAACGTATTTAGGTGAAACATCAAGGTAACTGAATATGAGGGTGAAGGAACATAAGCTATGCTTAAATCACATTCCTAAGTCCTCGTATGACATACGAAAACTCGAGAACGAATCAACGATAGTATTACACTCCGAGGAATCGGGCCATGTAATTGATTACAACGGTACAAGAGTCCTTCAAAAAGGTTTTACCTCTTACAAAGAAAAGCCCTACACATATGAGCGAATCCAAACAGTATTAATAGGAGAGATGGGATACAATCAGCTGTTCCGCGACAACTAATGATGAATAAGTAAACCTGAGCTCCTTATTCCATTTTACCTCTCTTATCTGGATAACAGCAATTAAGTTCAACAGTTCTAATCAGTTGTTTTAACTGAATATGTTAAACAATTAACTGGGACAATAAAAATGACACAAACATTCATTTACTTGGGAATCATTTAGGAATACCGATCGATAGTTCCATCATGGTTTAGGATCTTAAATGTTTCTTTTTTGACTCGTTTAATGTTAATTTTGGTAAACAGCTGTTTTCTTCCAAAGCTTATCAGCTTGCTCAATGTTATGACTTGATCAGTGTTTTAAATTCATTGGTTGTTTAACTATTTATTGCAGTTTAATCACACCTCAAAATATATTATTGACCTTTATCAATAAATTCCTTTAAAATTTATATTATTGAAGCTTAAGTAATCACAGACTTCGAACAATAGGTGTTTTATCCACTTATGAAGATGGAGTGAAATTTATCATAGTCACGCGTTCAAGTATTAAGCTTTTTGGCCAATATGAGCTGCTTCTTGATTTAGAAATTCCATTTATTACTGACACTTACTAAGTTCATGTACCTAAAGCAGGAAGAGATTCTATGTTAACCCCTATCGATTAAGCAGTAATACTCACAGTTCTTGTGTATTTATAGATAGCCGGATATCTCAAATGTAGATGATCTCTAGCCAGGTTATTAAATGTATTATACACCCCAGTTAGATCACATTGTCACCGGACCTTCCAGTCATCTTTTACATAAGTGATTTGAGAAGTATCATGTTTGCTGGATTCCGTAGCTATCACAAACTTAAAGTAAGTCATTTGACTTTATTGACCTGATCTGAAAGTCGACCATCGTAATTATGAGTTAGTTGCACTCCTTAAAGATTACTTATTCATGTGGCTTACAAGTACTTCGGAATATTTTCTAGTAAAAATACGTTCATTTTTCCACACAATATTGATACATCAAAACTAATAAATTGCTACAAGTCCACTTTTATTTTGCTACCGTTAATAAGCCGTATACTATAAATTGAAAGCCGTTAAAAACCAAATTCACAACTGCTTGATACTAAAAAAGCATACTTTTAAAGCATTTCTACGTAAGTAAATCACATAGGATGGCTTTTTTCATATACAAAACAATATTCAGAAATCGTTTTGCAAATTGATGTTGAGATTGGAGTTCTCACTTTTCTTAACCAGAAATTATCCAAGTACAAAACAATTGCAAGTGATATAAATTATTACAATAGTGTTTTATGAAAGTATAAAGTGAGACAAAGATATTATTTCTTAGTATTCATGTAGTTAATTCATAAAGTTATATGATCAAATTATAATTTAAAAATAAAATGAATGATTGACAATTTCAACTTCTATTCAAAGTAGTAGTTACATGATTTAAGATAAACGCTTGGATCACATGACGTTTGGATGATAGAAGTATGTAAAAACTTTGGATCAGATTACTAAATAAATAAAGATGATTTCTTGAAAGTCACTTTTTTATAATGTATGATTGAAATTGCTCAAATACTATTACATGTATGAGAATAGGTATCACTTAAACTTAATACTCTTAAAGTAACACACATCAATTATGCTATGTGGTTGAAAGTAAGCAACATGGAGCTACAGCATTAATTAATAAAACATGTTTTTTAGCTATAAGTGAGCTGATCACTGCCGTAGGATCTGAACCCGATTCTGA